TGTAGCTGTGGGTGTGAACAAAACATGCACGCGCAGAACCGCCTGTGCAGTGTGAGCGTTCCCTCGCCTTTGGGAACTGGCCACACTGGCATTTGTTCCTCGGGTTGACTGGACCTTCCCGGAGCCATAAACAGCAGATGAGGCATGTGTATCACACGGAGACCTTTTCTGTGAGACGCTGACGCTGCTGGCCTGTGAGGCGCAGCACGTGCCTGTAGAATTGAAGGTTTCCCCGGACCTGGCCATCCCGGTGAGTCAGCGACCGTCCTTAGAGTCTCGGGCACGCTGTCCTCTCTGCAGATGAAGTGCGCACGGGGACCTACAGGCAGCTCTTCCACCCGGAGCAGCTGATCACCGGGAAGGAGGACGCGGCCAATAACTACGCCAGAGGCCATTACACCATCGGCAAGGAGATCGTCGATCTGGTCCTGGACCGGATCCGCAAACTGGTGAGAAGGGCCCTGGGAAGGCCTCCTGGACAGGAGGGGAGGCCCGGGATCTCCCCGGGACATCACTTTGGCAAAACCCAGCAGAACCATGAGTGCAGGGTCTTCCTTTCCGGTGTGGCCGCAGCGCGTCCACGTCTGTAACTGCTAAGTGTGACGCGTGTTCCCTGTGGATGGGTTGAACCTGTGTAGTGAACCTGCAGAGGAAGAGTGTGCCGTGACCGGGGCCTGTGGGGGCCCGTGGGGGCCCGTGGGGGTGGTGGCACGGCTCGTGCGGGCGTGGCCTCACAGCCTCCGCTCTCCTGCAGGCGGACCTGTGCACGGGCCTGCAGGGCTTCCTCATCTTCCACAGCTTCGGGGGCGGCACCGGCTCGGGCTTTGCGTCTCTGCTCATGGAGCGGCTCTCGGTGGACTACGGCAAGAAGTCCAAGCTGGAGTTCGCCATCTACCCGGCCCCCCAGGTGTCTACGGCTGTGGTGGAGCCCTACAACTCCATCCTGACCACGCACACGACCCTGGAGCACTCGGACTGTGCCTTCATGGTGGACAACGAGGCCATCTATGACATCTGCCGGCGCAACCTGGACATCGAGCGGCCCACGTACACCAACCTTAACCGTCTGATCGGGCAGATCGTGTCCTCCATCACGGCCTCCCTGCGCTTTGACGGCGCCCTCAACGTGGACCTGACGGAGTTCCAGACCAACCTGGTGCCCTACCCCCGCATCCACTTCCCCCTGGCCACGTACGCCCCAGTCATCTCGGCCGAGAAGGCCTACCATGAGCAGCTGTCCGTGGCCGAGATCACCAACGCCTGCTTCGAGCCGGCCAACCAGATGGTCAAGTGTGACCCTCGCCACGGCAAGTACATGGCCTGCTGCATGCTGTACAGGGGGGAAGTGGTCCCCAAAGACGTCAATGCGGCCATCGCCACCATCAAGACCAAGCGCACCATCCAGTTTGTGGACTGGTGCCCGACTGGGTTCAAGGTAGGCTGGGCGGTAGCGCGTGTTTACCTTCCGCCCACGGCAGATCCTGGGATGGGGTGCTGCCCCTCTGTGGAGGGTACCCTGTTCCAGGGCAGCTGCACTGCAGGGAGAACAAGTTTAGTAATTAATTTGCTAGGTGCCTTGATCTTTAGCAAGGACTTTATGTACCCTTATTTCTTACAACCAACCTGTAACACTCATGGGCTACTACTACTACTATCTTACAGTTTAGAGACTGAGGCTGAGACAGCTTTTAGTATCTAACAGCCTCAGGGGCAGCGAGCGATGGAGGGAGCTTTCAGGGACGTCTGACTGAAGCATGTCTGTTCTCCACATTTTCCCACTCTTGCTCAAGAAGCTTGTTGTGGTCTATGGTATCATTTTGTGTTAGAAATCATGGTTTTTAGATTTCACATTAGTTCAGTCACCAGTTGTCACTGCATTTTAGGTAACATTTATGTTTTTGTAGACAGAATTTTAAATTCATTATGCAGTGTTTTCTGTGGAGCCAAGGGGGGTTCACTGCTGTTACTCCAAACCAGACTCGGAACACTGCCTCGCACACAAAACCACACTGGTAATTAGGTGGCTCCTTCAACCGTGTTTAGTGTCACGATGAAACGTCTACCCAGAGAAAAGCAACATGTATCTGGAAGCCAAGTAACATGTTAGACCTATTGTGATCACCACGCTAAGTGCCTCACCACGCCTGGGATCGTTAACTCTGCCCCCTCTTCTTCATTAAAAGTCCTTGTTTACAATTGATCTTCCACATTAGAAAAAGTGCTAGATCCTGCACTCGTGAGCCCTGATGAGTTCCTGAGGTGTTTGGGGAGTTGCACGTTCCAGGGTCATTGCAGATTGAAAATGAAGAGAAATAGAAGCAATATGTGTGTCATCCTATTCCCATTTGGAAAGGCCAGAGCTTGCCTCTGACTACAGACAAGTTGTTGCACCCACCTGGCCTCTGTCAGCCCCACTTCAAGACACCCTGGCACAGACCATCTCTGAGGGTGTAAGACCGACAGATGCAAAGTGACTCACAGAAAAGAGTAAAGTCTATAACAGGTTTCACCAATCTGGAAATATTCATTACACCTTCCGTAAGAGGTGTGCAGACCTCAGAGGTTATAGGTGGGGGTTGAAACCTTCCATTCTTGACTTCTTTCGGTCACCTCACCATGACCTTCGGAAGGCAAGGACATCCAAGGCAGCCACAGCTGGGTGGCACTTTGCGGGGTGCTGTACCCTCTGCCCAGGCTTTCCCTCCTGGCTGAGTCTCTGTGAGCCAGTGGGGAGGTACAGGAAGTCACAGCTTCTGTCCCCACAGAGGATAGTTCTCCCTCAGATAGAGCCCGTTGAATTCTCATTGCTCTAAGTTCCTTTTTGTCAGTCTGAGTGTGATTTCACCATATGTTCTTTAATAACCAATTGCTCAGGGGTGCACTATTGTCAAGGAGTCTTTCCCATGTTTATGTTTAGTTTTTTCATTATAAAAGTGTGTATGTGGCAAAATATTAAAATGACGCAGAAGGCTGAAAAGCTGAAGTCCTCTTCCCCTTCCAGAGCTTTGTTTGTCCCTCAAGAGATAGTCTGTGCATATTCACATTACACCTCTTGTTATACGGGTGATGTTGACAGAAGGGCCAGCGACATGGGCAAAGAACATTCTTTAAAGGTAGGTGACATACTCCACTCATGCCAAAGAGAAACGGAAGCTGGCAGCACTCCCACTTGGAGGGGCTGGCTGGCCTGACCGTAGCGCTGTGTGAGAGCACCCCTCTATCAAGTCAGAACCCCCTGTGCCCTTCCCCCTGCTCATCCCAGCTCTTCTGGAGACTGGCTGTGTCCAGCTGCTGCTGGCTACTAGCTGCTCACTAGGGCAGGGAGGGGTCACAGCGTCAGCCCTCTCCCCGTTGTTTGTCCTTCTCCAGCACGATGTTCTCTGAGCTGTCAAAGACTCTAGCTGGTGTTTAATACTCTACAGGTATTTTTAAGCATAAATCGAATTCAAGTTGCTTTTCTTTTAACCAAGTATACAGTATACCTTGGACATATTTACATGCCGGGACAGATTTCTCATTCTTTTCTATGATCATACAGTGTTCTACTGTAGGGAGTGTATGATAAATTAACTAGTTTCCACAAAGGACATTTGTTTCGTTTTGCCATTTCAGATGGCGCTTCACAAAGTGAAAATATGAAGTCACCGGATATTAAATGTCGGCATATATTGGTACAAAACAAAGTACCAATTCCTACAGGGCATAATTTAAACTGGGTCCACAGCCCCCGTTTTTAAAAACAACCTACAGGGCTTCCCCGGTGGTGCAGTGGTTGAGAGTCCGCCTGCCGATGCAGGGGACACGGGTCCGTGCTCCGGTCCGGGAAGATCCCACATGCCACAGAGCGGCTGGGCCCGTGAGCCATGGCCGCTGAGCCTGCGCGTCCGGAGCCTGTGCTCCGCAACGGGAGAGGCCACAGCAGTGAGAGGCCCGCGTACCGCAAAAAAAAACAAAAACAAAAACAAAAACCTACAATTTCTGAGACCACAGTACAAACTTCACCATGAAAAATAAATAAACTTCACCATGCTTCCCTTCTCTGGCAGGTGGGCATCAACTACCAGCCCCCCACAGTGGTCCCCGGGGGAGACCTGGCCAAGGTGCAGCGGGCTGTGTGCATGCTGAGCAACACCACGGCCATCGCTGAGGCCTGGGCCCGCCTAGACCACAAGTTCGACCTCATGTACGCCAAGCGCGCCTTTGTGCACTGGTACGTGGGGGAGGGCATGGAGGAGGGCGAGTTCTCGGAGGCCCGGGAGGACCTGGCAGCGCTGGAGAAAGATTACGAAGAGGTGGGCGTGGACTCGGTGGAAGCAGAGGCCGAGGAAGGGGAAGAGTACTGAATGTGAGGGCGCGGCTATAGGCCCCCCGTCCCCCGACTGTCACGTTACAGATGTGTTTACCTATTAAAGTTTCTGTATTGAGCATAGTCTGCCCTGCGCTGCACTTCGACCAAATTCCCACGCCAGATACCTTCCTTTTCCAAGTGAATTTCTAGGGAAACGATGTTCCTCCCGGACAGAAAAGATGCAGCAGGTCCGTACGTCTGTCTCGCTACACAGAGCAGTCAACTGCCGCGTTACCCCCCGAAAAAGGCTTCAGAGTGAGGGGCGGAGAACCAGGAAGCGCTCTCCGCCTAAACAACTGGAGTCCTTCGCGCCGGCCAAGGCGCTCCTCGGGGGCCGGAAGTGGGCCGGTTCTGGTCGTCGGAGTCGCGGGCCCGCCGCGTTTGCCCCGCCCCGCACGAACCCACTCCCTCGCCCCACCCCCGGAGGAGCTGCCCCGAAACCTCCCGCCCGGCCCAGAAGAGGAACCTCTCCCGCAAGAAGCGTGCGCGCCAGCTCCGCCTGGCTTGTTCCCGTCGTAGGCGTTTCCCGACCCGGGCGGCGTGGGAGATCCCCGCGACCACTCCCCGGGCTCGCTCTGCAGTTTCCGGGGCCCGCCCCTCGGCGAACGCCGCGCACTTCCGCGTTTCTCTGGTACTGACTTCCGCCGCGAGCCAAACCTCGCGATACTTCGGCGGCGCAGCAATGGCGAGACCGTGAGTGCCGCAAGCGGGAGTCGGGAGAACAGGCTGGGACGGGGTTCGGGCGAGATCGAGCCGGGGAAGACCCGCCACGCCGGGGCCGCTTGCAGCGGGGTGGCAGCCTGGGGCGCGAAGCCCCTCCGGGCCCCGACGGCCGCCTGCGACCGAGCTCCCGCCTCTTCCCCAGATGCCGCGTCACTGCTCCGCCGCCGGCTGCTGCACACGGGACACGCGCGAGACGCGCAACCGCGGCATCTCTTTCCACAGGTTAGCGCGCGTGCGCGCCGGCGCGCGGAGGGTCCCCTACGCGTGCGTCCGTCCTGCCGCGTCGCGGAGCCACTGCGCACGCGCTTTTGTGGTCGGGGCGGGGCTTGAGTGGGAGGCTGGGTGGGGGAGCAGGGGCGGTCCGCCTGCCCGGGCCAGCTGCTTCGAGTCTTACCTACGTGATGATGTTCAGCGAGTCTCTTTTCCTCTGGAGGCCTTAGCTTCCTTGTCTATGCGCAGGCCGTGTCAGCGCGAGGTCTGGGGGCGGCATGAGCGGGGCCGGCCTTTCCCGTCTGGCTCACTGGCTTGTGGCCCCGCAGGCTCCCCAAGAAGGACAATCCAAGGCGGGGCTTGTGGCTGGCCAACTGCCAGCGGCTGGACCCCAGCGGCCAGGGCCTGTGGGACCCGGCGTCTGAGTACATCTACTTCTGCTCCAAGCACTTCGAGGAGAACTGCTTTGAACTGGTGGGAATCAGGTGAGCCTCCTGGCAGCTGACAGTGGGCAGGGCCTAGGCAGTGGGGTGGCAGCCGGCCGCTGGGGAGGTCCCCGGAGCAGCAGCCCTGGTTTCTCCATCTGGGAACCTCAGCTTCCTCTCCCGACAGACCTGGGCAGTGAGACCCACCCCCTAGGGATCACTGTGCCAGAGAGCGCTCCCTGCAACCCCAGCCCTCCCTACAAGTGCACAAACGGAATCAGTTCTTTTGGCTGGGCTACCCCGTTCTGGTGGAGCCTTTCCATACTCTTTAACTCTGAGGAGTTTTGCAAGGAAGAGATTGGTGGGGGCCTTAACTTGGCATTCCCCAGACTCATTGTTGGCAGGGTGCCTCCCACCTCCCACAGAGCTAACCCAGCAGCTTGCTGGAGTGCTGGAGGGCCTGCTGGCTCCATGCCCTGCGGGTCGGCTGGGGCGGCAGGGCTTTGTTCCACCTCATCCAGACCACTCTCCCTCGCAGTGGGTATCACAGGCTGAAGGAGGGAGCAGTTCCGACGATATTTGAGTCTTTTTCCAAGTTGCGTCGAACAACCAAGACCAAGGGGCACAGTTACCCCCCTAGCCCCCCTGACGTCAGCCGGCTCCGGCGATGCAGGAAGCGGTACGTGCTGCAACGGAGGGGGAGGTGCCCCACTGCACCCCAGGTCTGAGGGACTGGGCTTTAGGGTGCCTCACAGCAGCCTTGCTGGACAGGGTTCTGAGCCCGTGGAGTGGGTTCAGGGATGGGGGTTAGATGAGCTGGTGAAATGGGGTCGGCGAGCCCTGAGCCTGGCCTGTCAGTCTCTCTCTCTTCCCCCAGCTGCTCTGAGGGCCGAGGGCCCACAACTCCATTTTGCCCACCTCCACCTGCTGACATCACCTGCTTTCCTGTGGAAGAGGCCTCAGCACCTGCCACCTTGCCTGCCTCCCCCACCGGGAGGCTGGAGCCTGGCCTCAGCAGCCCCTTCTCAGACCTCCTGGGGCCCCTGGGTGCCCAGGCAGATGAAGCAGGCTGCAGCACCCAGCCTTCACCTGAGCGGGAGCCAGAGCGACAGCCGTCTCCGCTGGAGCCGAGGCCCATCTCACCCTCGGCCTACATGCTGCGCCTCCCGCCGCCCGCTGGAGCCTACATCCAGAATGAGCACAGCTACCAGGTGGGCAGCGCCCTGCTCTGGAAGCGGCGGGCTGAGGCTGCACTTGATGCCCTGGACAAGGCCCAGCGCCAGCTGCAGGCCTGCAAGCGGCGGGAGCAGCGGCTGCGGCTGCGGCTGACCAAGCTGCAGCAGGAGCGGGCACGGGAAAAGCGGGCACAGGCCGATGCCCGCCAGACTCTGAAGGAGCACGTGCAGGACTTTGCCATGCAGCTGAGCAGCAGCATGGCCTGAGTGAGGGCCGCCCAGCAGGGCTTCAGCCTCTTTCTCCCTCAGTATCCACCTTGAGAGGATCTGATCTGAGCTGCGTCCACCAGCCCTGCCAGATGCCATAATAAAGTGGATTCTAGAAAGAAGCGCTGCTCTCTGGCTTAGCTGGGGGCTGGGGCCCTTCCCCTGGGTACCAGGCCCGTTTCCCCAGATTGGCTGTAGCGACCAGAGGGCTCAGGCCCTGGAGTCCAAGCCCTTGGCTGTGGAGAGCACAAAGCCCTCACTGTACAGCTCTGTGTCTTGTACAGGGCTCTCTGAGGGGTCGTGTGAGTAGAGGTTCGGGGGCAATACTGGGCACCCTTTCCTTGGTACCTGGAACAGCCTTGACTTAGCCCGCTGGTCTCTGAAGACACCCATGAAACCCAGGCCAGACTCAGTTCTTTTTCAGGGAAACAACAGGCTTCCGTCCCCAGATCCAATCTGCCCAGCCTGTCCCATCCGAAAAATGGACAAGAAAGGCGATTACTGACCTGGGGTTGCTATGCTTGGCAAGTAGTGAGGGCCCCACAGTGACCATTCTGATCCCCAGAGGTCTGGGATGAGGTGTGTGGAGAGCAGAGGGCCAGGCACTTGGGCAGCAGTCCTGGTGTCGCCTCTGTCCTCATTTTCCTTCAGTTCACCTGCAACGTGGCAGGCCTCCCTGCACCTGTGAGCAGCAGCTCCGTGAGGCACTTAACCACACACTTGACCTCCCTGCTGGGCCTCAGCCACAGCAGCCGCAAGAGCACTGCTGAATTCTTTCTAGTCCTGGAAAAGGCCACACTGTGTTGTGTGGTTTGCTTTTTGGGGCCTTTGGAGTGAAACTTCATTTATTCACGTTACGCACAGAGTCAAATGGCCATTACAGGAGGCAGACACGGAGCAGGGTCGCAGGTGGTTCCCAAGCCTGCTGGCCGGCCGAGGTGCACCTTGCACAGGCCATTTCCTAGCTTGCTGGGCCTACAGGTGAGCACCCCTTGCCTAAGAATGTCCACCTGGGGCTTCTCAGCAAGGCCTGAGAGTGGCAGATGTTGCGTTTACGTGGGGCCCAACTAGAGGCAGGAAACGAGCTCTAAGGCTCAGAAGAGAGAGACTGTGTTTCCCCCAAAGTGGCTTCCTGGCAGCCAGGGCAGAAGGGTTCTTGTTCCCAGAAGAGGGGCAGAATGGTGCCTTTCCCACTGGGGTGGACTTGGCACCTTCTGTCGGGACAGGGAAGGACTCAGTGGCCTGTCCTCAGTTTCTCAGTGCAGGCAGGAGCCTACAGGGCAGCCCAGGAGCCAGGAGAGCCAGCTCCGGGCCCCCAGGGCTCCCCTTGGGTGGGGAGAGTCCAGAGGCTGGCCTGCATTCCTCCCACCAGCCCTCCCACTACGTGACTGGGGCACCCTGGGTGGGGGTGGAGAGCTGCTGGCATGAACAGAACCAGGCAAGACTGGCTTATCCTGAGCCATCGGGCCATATGGCCCAGCTTCAGCTCCAGGAGGACGGAGGGCTGGAGCCACCAGTGGGGACTGCGCAGTGAGGTTTGGGTGCAGGTAGGACTGCTGTGGCTTTAATGGAGGCAAGCCTATGACAATAAATACTTAGGGACAGATGCGGGCCTGGGGCATCTCTGACTTCTCTTGAGCAAGCCAGGGCCCCCACGCACACACAGGTGGGTGGGATCCCACAGCCCCTCTGGATGTCTGGCCCAGTCCGCAGTGGATGACCTTGCAGGCTGGGAGCTGACCTTAGGGCCCTTCACACCTCAAAATTCACCTGGAGTTGGACTCCATCTACCCAGGTTCTGGGTGGCAGGAGGAAACCCTTACACCCACCTTGATGAGGGTCTGGGGGTGCTGTGCGGCCCCCACATTGAGGGGTCTTGGCAACATGACCTAGTGGCTGGATGCACAAGCCATGCTGGGCCCCTGCTGTGTAGGGGGCCCAAAGCCAGCTCCCTGGTGGGCTCATCTCCCTCACTGGGCCCTGGCCAGGACCCCTGCCTCCTGCAGTGTCCTCACCACTAAGCCCTGGCTTCCCACCCACACCTCCACCCCGGGAGAGGGTGCCAGCCAGGATCCCGCTTCACCGTCTGCTTCCTGTGGGACCTGTGTCCTCAGCAGTGAGATGGGGCATTTGGAGTCCCCCACTCAGCTCCCTTCGGAGGCCCTGGGCACACGACCCCTCGGCCGCAGGCCCGAGCGTGGCCAGCACAGTCTTTGCAGTGGGCGAGGCAGGGCAGGCAGCACCACGTGGGCCCTCATATGTCAGCACCCAGCTCTGCGCACTGCTTGTCTGAGATGTGGGAGGCCAGGGAGTCGATGATGTCCAGCAGTAGCTGCTGGCTCAGCGAGCGCAGCGTGGGCAGCTTGGAGACCTGCGGAGGCAACCAAAGGCCAGGAGGATGGAGCCTTGTTCTTGCCAGGGCCAGGTGGCCGAGGAGTCTTCTGGGGACTTGACCAACGAGTACGGGGTGAGGATCAGCCAGTGGGTGGACAGCTCTGCCCAGTTATCCCCAGAACCCACTGCTGCACAAGGCGGCCAGGGCCCCTCCCACCTGGCCCAGGCCACTGCCAAGGGGAGTATGTCCTGCAGACGGGGCAGGCAGCGCACTGCGTGGGAGGGCCCTGACCTTGGTGAACTGGTGCACGATGATGTGGAGGCAGTGCCGCTTCATGTCCAGTGCCTGCGTCTTGTCTGCTGCCTCCAGAATCTGGAACGGCAGGTTCCCTGAGGCACTGCCCCTGCCCCATACACCGCGCAGGCACAGAGGCCCAGGGCCAGGGCAGCTACCTGCAGCACGTTCTGCACCGTCACGTTCATCTCCAGGTTTTGCTTGCAGTACGCCTGTAGCCGGTTGTTGTAAAAGCCGTAGTAGTAGGGCGCCGCGAACAGGTAGCTGAGGGCTGGTTAAGGAGCCGTGGGCCAAGAGAGCCTTCCTCCCACCCAGCTGCCCTCTTCCCCCTGGGGAGCCACCAGGGACGGTTAAGCCCGGAACCAGTGCTGCTGCCTCTTGCTCAGGTCAAGGGGGGCCCACCCACCACAACAGCCGGGCTCCCATCCAGGCAGAGCCTCTACATGGGCTTTGAACCACTCAGGGGTCCAAAGCTCCATTCGATCCAAAGAAAACCACAGGTTCCTCTCCCCAGGAAAGTACCCACATGCCCATCTGCTGAAACATCCACGGCCTCACAGAGCCCTGAAGGGCATCCTGGCCTCCCATGTTCAGAGCTCCACAGACATGACCTGGCCAGGAATCACCCCACACGGAGCCATGACCCCTTCCTCTGAACCCACGCGTCTCTCCTGACTGCAAACCTCTCTGAGCCAGCCAACCGACTGTTCCAGGGAACCCGGAAGAGACTGGACACTAAGAAGTCCTCAGGAAATCGCTTGGCCAGGCCAAGCCAGCAGGGCCCAAAGCTGTCCTGGGAATGACCCGGGAGCCCCAGAGGTGAGGATGCAGCGAGTCCTCGGGCGGCATGTTGACCTCGCCGTAGTAGATGTAGCGCAGCATGGACTCGAAGGCCTGCCTGCTGGGCACCATCTCCCCAATGGAGATGTTCACCTGGCCGTCCTCGGGCATGAAGGACCGGAACATGGCCTCAAAGTAGCTGCAGACGGTGGGCCGGCCCTTAGCAAGTCGGCCAATGCCCAGCTGCTCACCCACCCGCCCGCCCGCGAGCCACACCCCACCCACCTGGAGCGGGCGGCCAGAATGGCCTTGTGGGCTGGCCGCGGGTGCCCATCCAGCAGCAGCGTGATGTCACAGAACTCCGCGCCCGCCCCCTCCAGGTATGCCTTCATGTCCTGGATCAGAGACGTGCCTGAGGGTGTAGAGGGGGCCTGAGCCAGAGGGTGGCTTCTGACTCAGGATGCAGGACCCCAGGGCACTGCCTCCTGTGCATCTGCCCGTGTTGCCCCCCTGAACGAAACCCCCAGATCAGAGGCCTTACTCTGGCCTTTGAGGCTCTGTCCCCCCAGAGTCTGACCTTATCCTGGACTCGGCCCATTGAGCCCTCTCCTGTCCCAGTGCTGGCGCCCCCTCAGCTGTGTCACCTGGAGCCCATGGCCGAGGCAGCACAGGCCCCAGGGCCAGGGGGTGAAGGAGTCTATGAGGTCCCTTCCTGGCTGGGTGGGGATGGGACAGGGAGGCACCAAGCGTCTGAGGGCTGTGCCCACCCCTCACCAGGCCCAGATGTGGGCCCACCTAGAAGAGAAGCTGGGCAACTAATCGTGGGACCCTCAGCTCGTTGCTTGCTGCAGAACCTCATGCCTGGCGTCCCAGTCAGGTCAGCTCTCGCTGGACAGGGCCCGTGTTCCCCCAGGAATGGTCCTGGGAGATGCCGCCCTGGTACCCAGCCCGCTGAGCAGGTCTCTGCCTTGCCTGAGCCTGAGCCACCTGCGGTAGGACCCTGTGCCCAAGGTGGCTGCGCCCTGTCCACCACTCTCGGGGACCAGGTGGGTCCCTACCAATGTCCACGGGCTGGTCCGAGGGGGCGCGGGGAGGCGGCTGCTGCTTCCGCCGCACAATCTCCACGATCAGAGGAGATGAGAGGCGCTCGAACTCCTTCATCATGATCACCTGGTTGAAGTGGGACTCCTTCACCACGAAGTTCAGGCAGTGCTCCTGGACAGATAGGCCGCAGGCCACTGGATCAGGCCTCACCAGGCCTACCACAGCAGGTGGGGAGGGGACACAGGCTGCCACGGACCCCACCCCGCACCTTGAGCTGGCCCAGCTGCAGCCGGGCAGCGCTCTCACACACGACCAGCACGTTCTGCAGGTCCACGGAGGCCTCGATGTACTGACGACACAACTGCTCTAGGCGGCACAGCTGGAAGCCCAGTGCCAGCTTGTACACGTCCATGATGAGCAGCACGTCCTCCACGTGGCCTGCGCCCAAGAACTCCTGAGACTCTGGCGGGGTGTTGGGTGGGTGGGGCCCGGGCTCCCTCCACAACGAGGTAGCTCAGCCACAGGCGGGGTGAAGCCTCGGAGACCCCGGCCACCCCCTGCCAGGGTGGCCACATCCCATCCCGTTCCCTCCCGCCCGCGGCGCAGGCCGACCTTTCCGCGGGTACTTGATCTTGTCTGTGTAGAGGAACTGCATGAGCACCTCGAAGGGCCGTGCCTCGGCCTCGCGTATAGCCACACGCAGCAGGGGTGGCCGGGCCCCACCCGTGGCCCCAGCGGGGCCCTCCCTGAGTGCCGGGGCCGCCTCCTCCTCCAGCTTCTATGGGCAGAGGAAGGGGCGCTCAAGAACACCCCACGGAAGCCTCTGCCCAGGCAGTGGGCGGCCCTCACCTGGGTCAGCCGCTCCCGCGCCTGCACGATCTTCCTGCGGAGCCAGCGGCTGCGTGCCGTTACGATGGCCACGTGGCCCTGCACGCACTCTTCCTTCTGCCGGAAGAGGGACACCTTGGTGGAGGGCGGAGGACCCTCACCCTGGGGGCGGGGGCCGCCAGCGGGCACAGAAGGGCAACCCACCTCGCCCAGCACGAACTCCACGTCGCAGAACTGGCGGCTCTCCCACAGCCGCCCGTAGTCCTCGTGCAGCGTGCACTTGGGGTAACAGGAGAACTGCAGGCAGAGACCACGCTGCTGGACGGGTCCGCCCAGCAAGCCCACCACAGGCTCTGCGGGGCGCCGCCCGGCCCCCCGCCCCGGCCCCTCCCGCACTGAGGTTCCAGAGTACCCCGGCCCAACCGCCCGACCCCTCAGAGGGGCTGCCGGCTCACCAGGTGCAGCCTCGGCTCTGGCGCCAGACAAGCCCCGCCCCCGCAAAGCCCCAACACCCAAAGGGCTCGGTTTCCAGTTTCCGCCTCAGGCCGGCAGCGCGGGCTGCCCCACCTGGAACCTGTACATCTCCCCGCTGCGGATATTGTTGTCCACGGTGCCCCCGAAGATGTACATGGCGTCGGAGATCACGGCAGCCGCATGGAAGAGCCTTCCACTGGGCAGCTGGAGGGGAAGGGACAGGGCGGGGTCTCCAGCAGCAGGGCTGGCTGAGGCCTGGCCACGGCCAGCCTCTAAGCAAGGAGGGCACCGGTGGCCTGGAAGGAGGGGCCACAGGGCAGGACCCCCACCCCCCACACAACCATGCGGGGGGGCGGGGGGAGGCGGGGCCTGTGTGGGCCCACAGACAGGACAGGCCCTGTGGCCCCACCAGGTGGCAGAGGGTGCTGGGTGTCATGTGCTGCACCCATGTGGCCCGTCCAGCAGGGCATGGGCTCCCGGCCTCGCCTCACGTGCTCTGTAAGCCCTGAGCCTTGGCCTCTTCATCACAGGACCAGCTTCAGGGCGTGAGGGGTGGGCATGAGGGTGCCAGCCCTCACCTCTGAGGCTGGCAGGGTGGGCTGCCTGGTGGTGGTGCTGCCAAAGTCCAGGCCGAACACATCCCGGGACTTCTTGCAGCCGCCCCGCTCCTCGGAGCCCAGGGCAGGTGCCTCCTCGGAAGCAGATGCTCGCTCGGGCATTTCGGCTCCGCTGACCTGGGGGAGACAGGCAGGTGCACGGCCCCTCAGCAAGGGCCGGACAGGCGGCCAGAGACTGCTGCTGTCCCCGCCTGGGGTGGGGATGGGTGCTGTGGGGACAGTGTGGGGGGAAAGTGACAGGATGAGGGTGCTCCCAGCACAGCCGAGATGGGAGCCTGGCTGCGGTCAAGGCATGCATCCCGGGAGAATATCCCCAGCACAGCGCCAATGCTGGGCCATGAAGTGTTAGCCCATAGGTGGTAAGATGGAGAACAGGCCAGAGGGGCCCAGGCCGGCGTCGGGCCAGGGCAGTGTCCAGGGCTGAGGGCCCCAGGTGTCCCAGCCTTGCTCCTGCTGGCTGGCTGGAGCCCCTGGCCCTGGCCCCGCCCACCTGTGGACCAGCAGCATTCACCTCACTGTCCGAGCTGGGCTGAATGACCTCCCAGGTCTGGAAGTCCACGTCGTAGCAGTGCAGCTCGTTGGGGAGTGTGTTGTCAGCTGCGCCCCCAAACACGTAAAGGTGGCGGTCAAAGGCCACCATGGTGTGCCCGTAGCGTCGCTGTGGGGGCGGCGGAGAGCCCCGGAGCAGGTGCTCGGTGGGGATGCGTGTCCACCTGTGATGTGTGTTCACGCTGCATGTGAACCCGCAATGGGGTGGGGGTTCGTGGTCCCCTGCAGCCTCCACCCGGGCTCTGAGCCCCCCACCCCATTTCATCCTGGCACCAGCCCTGCCTGGCTCCTCGCAGCCCATCATGGGGTCCTGTCTCGCCCTCGTCCCCCAACATGGAGCAGGCAGCAGGGGCAGGGCAGGAGGGTGGCACCTGCCCGGCGAGGCAGCTGCTGTAAGGGGTGGCTGGCTGTCTTCACACTGGGGCAAGGAGGGAGGCCGCCTAGGCCCCAGGATGCTGGGCTGCAGCCACCCCCACGAGAGGCCTGTGGGGTCTCAGGTCCAGGCTGTGTAAGGGCCCTCATGGCCCCGCTCCCAAGGTGCTGGCTGTGTGTGGAGCCCACACAGGCAGCCCCGGGCACTGGTGTGGTGTGCTAACGGGGGCCTCACCAGCAGGGCACTCACGTCTTGTTCTTGAACTCGAACTGGAAGAGATTGTTGGTTATCTTGGCCCCGCTCTGGCCTGAGAAGACAAACATCCTGTCCCTGCAGACAGCCGCCGGGAAGTTGCAGCAGGAGGGCGGGATCTCACCGCTCTGGGCCACCTGTGTGGTTGGGGAAGCCATGAGCCCTTCTCCTGGTCCGGGGCCGACCCGCTGAGCTAGGGCTACATTCACTCCTGAACCTTCCGTGAGTGAGGGGTCATGGGTCCATTTTTGTGGAACAGCTTAAAGCCCCCATCTGAATGGGCCCAGTTTTGAACAGTTGGGGCTGAAGTCTTCACTACAGGTGAGACAGGGCAGTGGTTAGACACACTGCCCAGGACCCCGACAGCAGCCGCCCCCACTGTGTTCAAAGAAGAGTGGATCAGACCCAAACTGCACCAGTCACAGGCTCGGAGCCTGTAGTCACTGGGTAACCACTGCGGGGACTGTGAGAGGGCTGGGCCGGATGTCAGGAGGGACTGGCGAGGCCAAGAACAAAGCGGCCTCCCCGGCCCCAGCCCCTCACCTCCTCCCAGCATGTTAGCTCCCGGTCCTGGAGGCCGATGGTCCACATGTCGTTCAACCTGCATTAGGACAGAGGGGTTGACACCCCACAGCTGGGCTGGCGGTCAGGGTGGGCCTGGGCCCAGACAGGAGGGAAGTCTCCAGGAGGACAATGCACCAAGGGGGATTCTGACCAGGGGACTATGGAGCAGCCTTGGGGTGGGGGCTTCGGCTGCACTGAATCCCTGCTGGGCCGGGCCCCCTGGAGCCAGGAGAGGCCCTCACAGAAGCCACCACTAACCCTGCAGCACTTGGGGCTTCTGTAACGCTGAATTCCTGCGGAATGATCGTGTGCTGTTTTTGTAATCAGAAAAATACAGCAGAGCCAATGTTCTACAACAAGGAGGAAAGGTCCCATGACACAGGCAGGCACCTCTGTTGCCCTTCATGGGGAGGCGGGTCGGGTCTGAGCCCTGCCGCTGCCACCCTCCTGCTCACTCAGGTCACTGCTCACCGTGGGTCCGAGTATCCTCACCCCAGCCATTTGAGGGGCCACCACCCGACCCCTGGCTCTGATGACACCCAGCTATGGCCTCGGGGCTGTGGAGCCAGCACATCCTTGGCCAGCTGCACAGACATGGGTGGGCTCGCCACCCCCTCAGTCGCCCCAGGGGGCTTCAGGGGTGCCAGAACTTCTGTCCCCTGTGAGGGTTGGGCAGGGGCTCCACTCGGTGGCCCTCGTCCTGCCCATCTTCCTGTTCTCCCAGCCCTGTCTACACACCCACCCTCCTGAGAAACCCCTAGCTCGAATCCCCCCTCCCCAGTGCAGGAAGGCTGCTCTGTGCCTTGGTGCACTTCCGGGCTGCCACCTACCTGGCGTTGCCGTCATAGCCGGCAAAGATCCACAGCTTGTCACTGTACACTGTGGCGCCATGGGCTGACCTAGCGACTGGCAACCTGGGGCAGGAGGAGGGGGTGAGCAGGGAGGCCGCCCCGTGCAGATCTGAGCCTCATGGCCCCATGAGGCCAGGGCCACAGCCTACGAGTGCCACCGGGCCCTGGGGCTGCTGGGCCCCGGGGCTGCCGTGCCCACACCTGGTGACTGGAGCTCTGGGGACTCCAGCTGGGCCACTGGGAATAAGGGACAGTGGCAGAGGCTGAACTCATGAGGCCGGAGCAGCTGGACAAGGATTCATATGTCCAAGGGCACAGAGCCCCTTCCCAGCTCCCACCCAATATCAAGGGGGTGCATGCAAAACAGGGCCAGAGAAGTGCCATCCACAGTACACTTGTCCCTTCTACCCTCTGGAAGGAGGGTATCTAAGAGCCAGGGGAGGCGCAGACAGGAGCGCCTTGGCAGTTAACGCCCATCATCTGTAATTCTACAGAGCTGATCCAGGCCCGCTGCCCCCCGAGACCCAGCACGGCAGCCTGCACAACCCCAAAGGTCTCAGCAAAGTCTCTCACCGTCCTTCAATTTTCCACTCCGTCCACTGGCCAGTTGCAAACTTGTACTCAAAGAGGTCATTTTTATTCTTCAAGTTGGAATTGGAATAAATGTCCCCAGTGTAACCCCCTGTAAAGGGAATGAGAAGCCATCGCATCCAAAGGCAGCAACTCAGTCATCAAACCCAGGGGGTGGGGGCAGGATCTAGCCTCAGTTAAAATGTACTCTGGGAGCCCTCTGACCCTCGGGGGCACCTCCTGCCTGCCTGCCCCTGCTCGAGGCTCTGGTGACAGAGGAGCAGAACCCCATGTCCTGCCCCTGGTTGGGGGACACCAGCCTGGCCACAGAGGCAGACGGCTCCACCCCCAGGAGATCAGGACAGTCAGGGAAAGGGGCCCATGAGAGGGCTCAACCCAGCCCAGGAACTCAGAGGACAGTACACAGAGAGTCTGGCCAAGCACAGCACATGGTTGAGGCTTGATGGGAGGAGGGCCGCTCACCAAAGACGAACATGCTGCTGCCATAGACGACGGCCGAGTGGTGGTAGCGGGGAGCAGGAGGGGTCCCAGTGGTGAAGGCCCTGGTGGGGGGAGAAGGGGCAGTGGGTGTCGGCAGGGGGCAGCCCCCCTCACCCCCAAACTTCTTTTTGCTTTTGTATTTTGAGGGTAATACCTGTCTCGTTATAGAAACCTCAAAATATTGCCAATAAAGAAAACCAAAAAAACCAGCACTGAAACATATGTATAATTCCTTTGCCAGAAACCACCATCCACACCTTGAGTGTGCCTCCCCACCACCTTTCCCAGGCATATTTATGCATCTGAGTAATTGTTTTAAATGGAATCATGTGGTAGATGTCCTTGCTACTCTGGAACCATCCACACCTGCATCCCCACAGCTGCACCATATTCTGCAGCATGGGTGGTCCACACATCTTATTTATTGAATTAAAAACCGGTTTATACTGCTTTCCTGGGGCTGCTCCTTTTCAGAGTTTTATACTTAAGCAATTTTTAACAAAGAATTATAAGGTCTTGAGAGTGATTTTTAAATTAATCTGTAACTCTTGGACACATTTTACAATCAAGTGTGAGAGAAACAACACACAAACTTCCAAAGGAATCCAGCACCACCCAGGTGTCTGGGCAAGGGGTGATGCCACCTGTTGGGCCACATTCAGCAACTGTGAGTACTGGGCGTGGACATCCTCCTCTGTCGAAGGGGGGCACTGAGACCCCACCCCAGAAAGCAGTGCCCAGAGCTGCTGCAGAGCCTGGTGCCGAGGGGCTCCTGCACAAGGAGCTGGCACAGCTCAGGAGGAAGCCCAGCACCTCCTAATCCTGGGATCTTTTTCTCTCCTCAGCTGTGAGCTGCTCCCAGCAGGGGCTGGACTGGAGCAGATGGGCACAAATGTGCAGTGCTCAGAGATGGCAGGTGTCATGCCCAAGACCACACAGCTGGTAAGGGAAGCCAGGACCTACAGGTTGCCCACTGCCTGTGTGGGGTCTCCTGCCAGAGGATGGGCCCCACAGGGCAAGGAGGGCAGGGGAGCCGCTGCTGCCAGCCCCTGGGCGGCACCCTGCAGCAGCAGAGACCATCCTGGAATGCCCCATCAGCCCATGGTCCCCCTGTTGGCTCCAGGAGACAGGCCTGGTGACTGAAGAGCTCTCCTGAGGCAGAATTGAAGGACCCACAGCTGGATCAAATAGATCCCCTTAAATAACAGGATCCAGAAAAACCAATCTCAGCCACAGACCAGAAAAGAAAGCCAGGAAATAGGATCACTAAGAGCAGTCCTAGGCACTGTCATCTCCTCCTCAAAGCTTCTCTATCTCTCCGTGAGCGGGACCTGGCTGGCAGTCAGGCCCCAGTGGTGCTCCGTGTCTGGAGAAAAACAGGGCTGGAACCGGGGACACCCACCTGCACCAGGAGCAGTCCTTCACGTCGAAACGAAGGAGGTCGTTGAGCATCGTCTTCCTGAAAGACAGCCAGGGACCCAGGAGATGGACACTGTGCCCGGGGGTGGGGGCAGCTGTTTGGGGGACTCAGCCAGGGCCAGGCAACCAGCTGATGCCAGAGGGACCAGAGAGGTGACCCCAAAGGAAGCTCCCCAGCTGGTGCGGGACCAGCCTGCCTGGGGTCAGGACTCAAGCATGATCCCAGGCTCCTCACGCCTCACCCCCTGTTCCAGAATCCCCACCCACACGCCCACTCGTGGGCTGCAGCACCCCTTCTCCGAGGCTGCACCATACGACGCAGACGCTGGCTCACATGTCAGAGGAGGCCCCTTGCCTTCTCTCTCTTCCTGCCACCTCTTTATTGCAAAGCTAATGTAATAACTACATTGAAGATACAATAAAGCAGGGCTTCCCTGGTGGCACAGTGGGGTAAGAATCCGCCTGCCAATGCAGGGGACACGGGTTCAAGCCCTGGTCCAGGAAGATCCCACATGCCGCGAAGCAACTAAGCCCGCGTGCCACAACTACTGAGCCTGCGCTCTAGAGCCTACGAGCCACAACTACTGAGCCCAACTGCCACAACTACTGAAGCCCGTGCGCCTAAAGCCCGTGCTCTGCAACAAGAGAAGCCACCCAACGAGAAGCCCGTGCACTGCAACGAAGAGTATCCTCCACTCGCTGCAACTAGAGAAAAGCCCGCGCACAGCAACCAAGACCCAACGCAGCCAAAAATAAAAATAAATTAAAAAAAAAAAGATACAATAAAGCAGAAAGCAAATCCACTGGCCATCCCACCACCTAACAAGACCTGCACGTTGGGGTGTCCCTGGTGGTGCAGTGGTTAAGAATCTGCCTGCCAATGCAGGGGGCACGGGTTCGAGCCCTGGGCCAGGAAGATCCCACATGCTGCAGAGCAACTAAGCCCGTGCACCACAACTACTAAGCCCGCGCGCCTAGAGTCGGTGCTCCACAACAAGAGAAGCCACCGCAATGAGAAGCCCGTGCACCACAACGAAGAGTAGCCCCCCCAGCCACAATTAGAGAAAATCCACACGCAGCAACGAAGACCCAACGCAGCCAAAAATAAATAAATTTTAAAAAAAAAGACCTGCATGTTACCACCTAGCCCTTATCAGTAAGAGGGAGAAGGGCATCCACCCAACAGAAGCCCAGCACCCCAGCCTCCTCAGTTAGCCTCCGCCTCCAGGAAACAGCCTGGGAGACCAAAGGGCCTGCCTGAGGCCACGGAGCCAGGGCGCTGGGGCTGGGAAGCAGAAGCATGACTGTAGCCCCTCCCCTTTCTCATTTGTACCTGCCCCAGCTACATGAGCACCTTTGTAGCCAGTCTATACAAAGTTGCAACTAGAATGAGACAAATTCCTATCCTGTTTCTTAGTGTCACATTGTACAGAAAATGTTTCTGCTCCTCGCTACACAGTTGTCACTCAAACTCCACCTGCTACAGAACACTCCAGGGGGATGTCCCCACCCGCTGCCCTGCGCTGGACACCAGGCCTATTCTGGTTCAGGGGATTCTCATTAAGGCTGCAGTAAACATCTGTGGGCGGATGCCTCTTCCTCATTTTATTCCTTCAAGTGACAAACATTTATTGAATTGTCTGGGTGCTGGAATACAGGTCCAGCCCCGGCCAAGGAGACAGACATGAAACATCTGTGTGCCCTGGGGGCCAATGGAGCCAGTAAGAGGTGCAGAAGGGGAGGGGGCGCTGCTGGCTGGTCCGGTTACTCCAAGGGGTGGGGGAATGCCTCACTCACAGGAGATTTAGAGGAGGGTCAGGAAGGGTGGGAAGCAGGGAACAGCCAGCAAGAGGGGCTAACCAGGAGGATGCTTGGTGCAATCAGAACACCGCAAGGCAGAGGTGTCACCCAGTGCAGCACAGACAAAGGCAGGGGAGCCGTGGGTGCAGATGCGGGCAGGGCCTCACAAACTGCCAGGAGGGCTTGCATTTTTACTCAGAGGGAACCATCCCAGGGTTATGACTCAAGAAGGAACACACTCTAGCTGGCTGCACATGGGGAGGGAGACTGAGGGAGACAGGCTGGAAGCCAGGGGCCACGCCCAAGAGACCCTTCTACCCAGTCTGAAGGTCCCCGTGGGGGCTTGCCCACTCTGTCAGCCCCAGGTCAGCTCCTCCAGGGAATCCTGCAGGACCATGGCTGCAGCACCAATCAGAGGCCAGCCCTGCCTGGGCTACAGGCCAGAGCCTATGGTTGAGAGGCAGGGACAGGACTCAAGGGCAGGATGAGTGTGTGCAAACACCACACCCTCAGCACAGGGACACCTCTGTCCTCAGCGTCTCACAGCCCTATGCTCACTGACCCTCAGGAGCACCCTGCAAAAGCAGGTCAGAGGCCCACCCCATTCTACAGAGGAGACCAGGGTGCAGTTGGTGGCTTTAAGCCACCTGCCCCAAACCACAAAGCTGTAACCTGAACTGAGCCCTGTCTGTCCAGGAGCCCAACTTCAGCCCCACATCCAGCAGGCTCCCAACCTTCCAGAGCCCTGGTGGGCATCCCTAGCCTCTCCTGAGCACATGAAGGGGTTGACGAGGGACGGAAGCCCAGTGGATGCCGGGCAGCACAGTTCTACACTCTCCTACTGCTGGGTGGTTGCCCACACTGACCCCTCTGCTTGGGACACGCTTCCTCTTTTGCCTGGCTCACTCCTACTCATCTTTCAGGTCATCAGCCCCCCAGTAAGGCTTCCCTGACCAGACCGGACCAGACCGGACCCTGCCTCCTGGTGCAGAACAAGCCTGCCTGCTGTGCCCGCACCCTGCACTTGATGTGGTCCCGCCCTCGCTAAGACAGCTCTTTCC